CCTTGGGACGTAGCACCTAGGAATGCCTTGTGCAACCCCCCAGCTGCTTGCACCTCCCTCCCCACCCCTTTTCTCAGCCACCTGGGTGCCAGTTGCTATGCCCAATGCCCACCTTGCCACCCCTTGCAGGACACCATGACATTGCTTCATCCCCCAGCAGCTCCCTTCCCCAGCTCCCCCCGCCCCCGTGGAGGAGGCATTGCTGCCACCCTCTCTGGGACAATCCAGAACTTACCTGCTGCTGGTTCTGCCCTGCAGACCTTGCACAGGGGCCGAGCGTCTTCCGTGAGCACGTGCTCGCCTTCAACAGTGACCAGGGGAAGCTGGAAGATGAGAACGTCAGGGTCAGGCGGGATTTGAGACCTAGAAATTACTTGGCTCGGTTTGCGGTGTACAAGGGTGGAGAATATCCCAGGGAGTGCTTAGCACATGCCTTTCCCTGCAGTTGGAAATTGGTCGCAGTGTGCATTGGCAGAGCTGTTTTTGTTGAAATTTTTTTCTTCCTTTTTTTTTTTTTTATTAGCGTTGTTCACACTGCTAAATGCACTCCTAGATAGGTTGGGGCTGTGTTAGCTGCAGCTGGCAGTTTAATTTTAAGGTAATACACCTCACAGCTCCATAACTGAGAGTACAGAAATCCTCAAAGTGCTACCTAAGTGGATTAAATGGTGAATCTGGGCCTGATACTGCAAATTATAAAAGGTAACAGCAAAGTGCTGTTGTCCATGTCCCTCCCTTGTGGCTGAATTAGGTCCCTGTCCTGCCACAACACATGCTTAACCCAGGCTGGTGAAGTCAGCAGCCCCAGACTCTAGTGTAAGGTTACACCAGTGATTTTGCTTCAGCTGGAGAAGAGGCAAGTGAAGGCAGCGCCTGCTGCAGGAGCTGTCAGGTGTAAGGGACAGAGCCCAACTTTCACAGTCAGTCCCAAGCAAGGAAACCACAGACAGATGGCAACAGGCTCAAAAATACTTTTGATTAATTGAAAGAAATACCAGTGATGTCCTCGCTGAGCAAACAAGTCTTGCACCCAGGAGACTGAGCATATATAAAAAATAGTCATAGTATGTTCAAGAAAGGAATTAATATTTAAAGCTGAAGTGGCAATACTTGAGATCTCAGGCAACTCCAGTTTTAAGGTGCTGTAAGCCTGGAAGGATCACACCCATTGCTGACAGTCTTTGAGGTGTCTCAGACTATTTATGTGAGAACAGGATGGGGCTGTACAGAGGAAAAAAATCCCAAATCTTTCCCCAAAAGCTCATTCTGGGGAAATAATACTTATGCTAAAGGGAGAGCAGGTTTGTGCAGCAAGGTGCTTGCACTGCTCCCTCAGGCTGCAGTTTCCCAGCTTGCTAGGGCTTTAGACCATCACCTGAGACCAAAAGCAATGCTGAGGTATTCAGGGTTGGGTACTGACCACAGCTGGAGGGGGAGAAGCAACACCCATCTTCCCTATGGAACCAAAAGGAGCAGGTTGGGCTGTCAGGGGAGGCTGTGAGTGGTCAGTGACTGCAGGCAGTGAGGCTGACCCCATGGTCAGGCAGCCTTGGACTTTGCCACCATGGCAAGCCTGCCAACTGATGTTGGGCAAGGATAAAATACCCAGCCCTATCCCCTCTGCCCCCCAGGGAACGTGAGGCTCTGCCTCTGGCGTCCTCAGGTCTGTGAAGGGTGGGCTGCTCTCCATGCCAGGGACAGAGGACGTAAGTAATTCAGGCTTGGGTGGAGGGGAGCGAAGCCCTCCTGACATCTTTGGTGTTGCAACCCTGCCCTTATCTTTGTATTGAGTACAGCCACTCTACACTCCTCTGGCTGTGTTCTTGTGTCCACCTATTTTTTTAAGCCTCTTTTTTTTCAACAGTTTTTCTTTTTTTTCTAAATACTCACACAGCCCATGTGAGCTCCTTTTCCTAGCAGCTGTTGCCACAAGAACAATAGGGCAGATATGCCCATGCACACACCAAGCAAACCTGGGAAGCTGCAGTCAGACTGAGCAGAGCTCCATCCTGCCAGACCTCTTGGGTCTCCCCTTGGGGAGAAATTCCCATGGAAATGGCCCTGTGCCCTCCCACAGTAACCACTGTCAGCCTGTTTCTGCTCACAACCTTGGTTCTTTCCTGGCAGAAAACAACACAGTGCCACTGAAGTTAGTCCAGAGCCGGATGGGCACCAGAGGACTACCCCAGCCTCTGAGGATCTCATTGGGCAGCTGCTCAGTTGCCCGTTGGAAAATATATTATTTTTTTTCACAGTGTCAACCTTTCCCTGAGGACTTTAAAGCCTTTCATGTGTGAGACAGCCACCACCCCGGCTCATCCCTAACCCCTCCTCCCATCTCTTGGGCTTAGCAGCACAAATCCTTATGAATTTATGATCAGAGCTATTCTCCACAGGGTCTCTCATAACTGCTTCCCGCAGCTCTGCCTGGCACCACTAGGACAAGCAAATGTTTTGTGGCTCATGGCTGCTGCTTCCCCTTATCAGTGTGGGTTTTGGCATAGTGACCAGCCAATGTACCTGAGCTATAACTGAAGAAAGGTGGGTGTGCATCCCCAAAGGGCTGTGCTTGGCCCCATCCCAGAGCCATTCCACAGCAGCTGACACAGGGCAGGCACAAGTCCTCATTCCCAGCTCCCAAAGCAAAGCATCACCCAAAGCAACATCCCTTCATTGTCACCAGGAAGATGTGCATCCCATGTGCACCACGAGGACAAGCACACTACTCATTGCTGCTGTTCAACCTAACAGCTTCAACCATGGAGGGACAGGTCATGGGGGAATGGCTTCACACTGACAGAGGATATGGTTAAGATTAGATATTAGGAAGAAATTCTTCTCTGTGAGGGTGGTGAGGCACTGGCACAGGCTGCCCAGAGAAGCTGTGGATGCCCCATCCCTGCAAGTGTTCAAGATCAGGTTGAGCAGAGCCCTGAGCTACCTGTCTAATGAAAGGTCTCCCTGGAATAAGATGATCTTTTAAGGTCCATTCCAACCCAAACCATTCTGTGATTCTATGAACTAACAGCGAGACAGGAGGTGACATCCCCAGGGCACATATGTGTGCACAGGCAGTTCAGGTGTGATTTCTAACACACTTTCACAGATCTCTGTTGTGTCCCTCCTGGGTTGGTATAGCACCAGTTATCCTCACAGAGAGCAGCTCAACCATACACAAAGAAATTAGCTCCCTTGCTCAGGGTGACAGAGCGAGGTGGTGCCAGTAGCCCAGGACTGTCCCCCTGGGGTACCCAGCATCAGCCCCATGATTAATTCGGAGTTGTCCCTGTAGCGATTGCGGCTGTAGAGTCACGAGGACGTTGCTGAGATACAGAGCCCTACTGCTGCTGGGAACAGCTTCTCATTCCTGATTTGACAGCGCCACCTCGTGAGGTGGCCCCGCTCCTGGGGACACTGTGGGACACTGTCCTGCCCCACTGCTGCCCGTGCCCACCGCAGGTACCCCTCTCTGCTCAGAGGTGGCTCCAAGGAAGCTGCACACCCTTGCATGTGCTTTAACCTGCCCATGGAGGTGACAGTAACAGGGACCATTATCATAGCAACACAAGGGGACATGATGCTCAACGTAACACAACTGTTTTTGTCAATGGTTGGAAGGTGAAAGCTCAGGGTTTCCTTGGAAACATAAGTTTGGCAGAGTCTATTCCACAGTGCAGGAAAGACCACAAAACCTCTGCTCCACACACCCCACAGGCATGGAACCCTGCCCACTCCCACTGACAGTGCAGAGCCACAGACGAGCAGACTCACTTCTCTGCTACAGGGCACATCAGAGACCCCAGGCACAATGGTGCCCAAAACCTGGAGGGCACAAGCAGCTCTGCCAGGTCTGACACCACAGCATTGCAGACATTGGGATCAAATATTCACCTGGGAAGCAGATTCCTCCTCCTGCCAGGGAAGCAGGTCACTGCTGCAAGAGAGGCATTCCTTCCTTCTTTCTCCTCTTCCCGCTGGAGGGTCTCCAAGGTTGGGTCTCGGCCACAGATCTGATGAAGCAAGACAGCTGATAAGAAATCTGGAGTTACTCTGCCTGGGGCAGACATAGTGAAGTATCTTGTGAAACTTCTATCACAATCTAAGCAGATGCACTAACAGCAACCACACATGGTGCCATGGTGGTACCCAGAACCTGATTTGAAGGCAAGAAGTTTACCCAAGCAGGGAGAGAGGAAGGGTTTTACTTCAGGACTGCCCAAGTGTGCTTGCAGGGCTGGGGATTAGAAAAGTGACACCTCACAGAATCACAGAATGGGTAAGGTTAGAAGGGACCACTGGAGGTCATCCAGTCCAACCTCTCTGCTCAAGCAGGATCCCCTAGAGCACAGTACTCAGGATTGTGTCCAGATGGTTCTTGAATATCTTCAGTGGAGGAGACACCACAACCTCTCCGGACAACCTCTTCCTGTGCTCAGTCACCCTTACAGTAAAGAAGTTCTTCCTCATGTTCAGGTTCAACTTCCTCTGTTTCAGTTTCTGCTCGTCCTATTGTTCAGCACCACTGAGAAGAGCCTGGCTCCATCCTCTTGACATCCTCCCTTCAGGCACATACAGGCACTGATAAGGTCCTTTCTCAGTCTTCTTCTCTCCAGGCTAAGCAGGCCTGGAGCACAGCCAGGAGGGAGATGCTCAGAGCCCTGTGGTCCCCAAGAGCCCTGCAGCTCTCCCCCCTCGAGGAGCTGCCATGACAAATGTGTCACAATCAGCATGGCACTCCAGAACACAACACCAAAACACAGCAGCACGATGGCCACTGGCAAGTTACCTTTGCAGGAGGCTTCAGCCCCTCTAAGCACACTCCAAAGAGGACAGCAGGGAAAACAAAACCAGCATTAGGCTCCTGAAATATGGGTCCTCCCTGAAACACAGCTGTGCCTTCATGTAAGTGGCTGTTTCCAAGGGCATCCACCCATCTGCAGGCTGAAGCCAGCCCACTCCCTTGCATCCAGATCTTTCAGACATGAATAAAACTTCACAAGACAGTGGGAGGTGTTGGGCACTAACTGGCACTTGCCTTGATGTCTTGGGTGGATGGGGTGGGGGCTGCAGTGATTGACACTCTAACCAGAGCCACAACCTGCCCCCAACCTTATGGTACTTGTTAATTTGCTCCCAGAACCTGAGCAAGAGGACTCAGAGGGTACCAAGGCAGTGGGGCTGGAGCAGCAGCACCAGAGCACAGCACAGTTCCTCTCCAGGGTTATGCCCAGTGTCTGGGTAAGGTGGAGGAGCACAGCTTGTCCCCTCCTGCCACAGCACCTCCCTTCTCCTGCCCTATGGATGCCACCTCATTTGTGCCTAG